TCTCTATGGGACAGCAATAGTAGCTACCTGTTAGCTACTTGCATATTTTTCTAGATTTAATGTATATGGGTGTTTTGCTTTCACGTATGTGGGACACCATGTGCATGCAGTGCCCATGGAGGCCAGAAGAGGGCACCAGATCCCCTGTAACTGAGTCAGAAGACCTCGTGGAACTGGTTCTGATCCAGCCATCTAGAAAAGCAGCTTAAGCTCTTAACTGCTGAGCCATCTCTCCAGCCCATCAGATCCATCTCAGGGTGCTGAAAGTCGTCTTCATTCAACCAGTAAGGAAACACGCTTGCCCTGGGTCACAGGGCTGTCCTGCTCTTGAGTGAGCATATCCCTGTCTCTTTAGTGGCCTCTTTTCCTCTGCATCCCTGGGGAGCATCCTCCCTACAGAGGCAGATGGAAGATTCTTCCTTAGGGGAAGTCCACAGCCATTCTTTCTCTCCCCGAGGCATGGCTCTCACTGGGGATCCAGCAACACCTTAACTTTCCTGTTGGTACAATTATCTCACTCTGCCACAAGGTAGCTGTGAACTGAGGTGTATCCCCTCCTCCTGGCCAGTCCTAGCCAGCCTCCTGAGAGCAGGAAGTGGGCAATGACATGATGGATACAAACAATCTTGAGCTCAAGAGGCCTGCTCCATCTTTGATGGTGACATTCAGGGAAGGGTAGTGGGTGGGCCTGGCAGATGTGGGCTGTGGCAGCTGCTTCTCCACTATGTTCTGCTGAGGCTTCTGGTGTTCATCTCCCATAGCCAGGCAGTTCCATGATACAACCCCAATTTAGGCTGGGATATTAGGCCAGGGTTAATTATTCCAAAAGGGTTTCAGCTGAGTTGCTCTTCATCTTATGGCGGCGAGCTTTGAAGCCCACGGGTGCCCTCTTGAGGAAAGATGCCCTGCCCTGCAAGTATTTGTATGATTGCTAGTTCTGAGCCGTTTGCTCTTCACATTCCAGAAAGCTTACAACTCCCTCCATGAAGCGTTTGTCTCTCTGTTAGCTGGCTCACCAGGAGTGTTCAGTACAGTGGGTGGGCAGAACAGTTCAGAGCCCCCTGCTGCTGTTCAGAGGGTTGAAAGCCAAGGCTCTTTCCCGATACCTGTGGCATACAGCTCCACGTGACATAAAGCCTGGAGCTACACCAAGGAGCAGCCAGCTGCTTGTGTGTCTTAGGGTGCCCCTAGCTTTGACTCTGAGAAGGAAAGTTCATTTGTACTTTCAGACATATTAGGTGCGAGAAGACAAAGTCCTTCTAATCTTCCCAGTCCATGAACCCTGATAAGCCTGAGGCCATCCGTAACTTAATGAGTTTCTTCCATGAGCTAGACCGTTCTGAAAGCAGGAAGAAGTTTCCTTCCTAGGACCATAAAGTTACATGGGAGTCCCCTGCCCTCCTATTCTGCCATAATCAAGAATTTTATCCTAACTCCATAGTAATTTTAATAAGATTACTCTATGTGTGCCAGTGTTTTGTCTGAATATATGTCAACACCACCTGTGTGCCTGATGCCTTCGGAAGCCAGAAGAGGGCCCTGGATCCCCTGGAACTTGATTTATGGATGGTTGTGAGACAACTTGTGGGTGTTGGGAACCACATCTAAGCCCCCTGCAAGAGCAGTGCAAGAGCCATCTTTCCAGCCACAGTAGTAATGATTATTGCCACGCCCGAGCAGCCAGAGTACGTAGCTTGGGGGAGGGTGTCGGGATTGAAACACTTAACAGACCATGAAACAGTTCACGAGAAGTGAAGAGGAAGCTGCTGCCCTTCATTACAGAGAGTGATGGGCTTATCTACCCAAGCCAGGGGATGGGCTAAGCATAGGATGAATCATGCACCGCCCACACCTGGGGTCAAGGCACGGGCCCTGCACACCGGAAAGTTGTGAGAACAACCTTGTCTGATCAACCTTGAGAGCACGGGGGTTCTACAGCTGGGTGGGCAGGAAGAGAGCTGTAAGGTACAAGGACTTAAATTCCCAACAGATTATTGTCGTTTGTTACACAATGAATAGATCATTATAGCCCACTCTGGGAGACTTGCCCTTTACCTCTTGTTAGATCAGGACTTACCAACTGCTTGGTTGATTGAGACATGGTCTCTGTGTACTGGTTGTCCTGGAACTCTATGTAGATCAGACTAGCCTCACAGATCCACCTACCTCTGCCTCTACCTTCTGATTGCTGGGATTAAATCATGCACCACTACACCAGAGAGGATTTTTATTTTTATTTATTTATTTGGGTTTTTCGAGACAGGGTTTCTCTGTGGCTTTGGAGGCTGTCCTGGAACTAGCTCTTGTAGACCAGGCTGGTCTCAAACTTAACAGATATCCTTCCTCTGCCTCCCGAGTGCTGGGACTAAAGGCGTGTGCCACCACCACCAGGCAGGATTTTTATTTTTAATTAAAATCTAAGCTAATGTATGGATTGCATGATGTCTCATTTTATTTTAATTCGTGTTTTATACTTTCCCATTTGATGAATTAATGTCACCTGTACTTAAAGCACTCTTATGGGTGGTCTAAAAATTAAGTAGGCTAGTATAAACACACTAACTTAAATAAAATACAATTTAAAATACACTTAAGTTTGGCATGTCCACAGGATCAGATGATAAGGAAACCAGGAGGCAGGGATGGAATGTGACTTTGAGTTGATGCAGTGTTACACCAGTGTAGCGGGTACTTCAGGGGCCCTCCAGCCAGTGTTTGCTCAGTTGTCAAAAGCAATGCGACCCACTCAAGAAGGGTAAGCTGGCAGGGGGTGGGGTGGCAGGATGGGGACTTCCATTTCCTGGCTTTAGTTCTTGTATTCCTGAGCGTGCTGGGAGAACACAGGGACCAGGAGCTGGCCCTGCCTGTGGAGGTGGAGGCCTGCTTTTGTCTTGTTTGCTGCAATAGATAACAGCCAGGCTTTGAAACGTTGTGTAAGGTTAAAGACCTTACGGGGGGGGGGGGGAGCCAAGTGTTGCAGGGTGTGTGTGTGTGTGACAGAGAGGGGGGGGGGAGGGAGAGAGAGAGAGGGAGAGAGGGAGAGGGAGAGGTGCTGCGATTCCCTGCTGGCTTCTTTCCCCTAGTTAGGCAACACCAGAACAGGAGACCTCAGGGAAGGTGTGGGAGAAAGCCAAGCAGCTATGTAGCCAGGGGGAGGCAGACTCCCTCCACTCTTAGAGTTGTGGGGGAGGCAGACTCCCTCCACTCTTAGAGTTTTACCTCCCCCATGTCCATTGGTTCAGAATGATCTTATGCGGAGGCAGAGGCGTGCCTCATAGCCCTTGGGTGGGAATGCATTTCTGCCATGCGGGGTCATAGTACCCAGGACTCACCTTTTAACGTGAATAGCTGAAAAGTGAAATAGCTAGTAATATGCTGGGTGCACAGGGGGCACGTGCCCTTTAAATTGTTTCTCTTCCAGGTCCGGAAGCCAAGGGGAATAGGCAAGAGAAATACCCACTGATTAGGCTTATAACATCTGATCCTGATGAATTAAAAGAATATTAACGCTGTAACCAGGGACACCACAAGTCTCACTTAGCCAGTCTGATTGAAGTACTGACTCTAAGAGTCTTGGAAAGCAGGTAGCTTCTAACCATACGTTCCCAGACCTGCTTGGGAGGGGTTGAGCCAGGCTGACAAGGGCTTTGATGGGTTGTGTTGTTGTGTTGCCAGCCCCAAAGAGCTGAAGTATGTAGGGCAGCAGCCTTTCCGGCGGGAACCCTGTAGACACACATTGTTAGGACGGGGATTCGGAGTGAGGAGAGCTTGCCCCTAGGGTGCAAGTCCTCCGGCACGTCCTAGGCTAGGGCCATTGGATGACGGGCAATATGACCACACCGTCTCCTCACTTCCCCTGCAACCTTCCTCCAGACTGTTCTGTGGAGGCTGTAGAACGGCTCATTGACTCTTGACTGACAGCCACGGGGGGGGGGGGGTCTGCCACTTGTGGTCTTTGAGTGCTGGCATTGTTGGGAGTGTGACTGAAGCCTCCCACCACTCCCTCAACACCGAGGCCGCCGCCTGTTCTTCGCATTCCCTCATTCTTCATTCACGTCATCTCTCTTTCTCAAAGAGCAAATGTGTGTTGAGGGCTGACCTCCAGCCTACTTTGGTATCTAAGAGAAAGGCAGGGTGCTGCTGTCCTATTATAACAGTCCACTCCAAAAGTTAAGGGTAAAGGCACTTGCTGCCAAACCTGACGGCTGTCCTGTGTGTGTGTGGGGGGGGGGAGAAGGGGAAGGAGAGAGAGAATAAATAAAAAACCAATGTAATTTTAAAAAGTTAGAACATATTTAAAGCAGGTTGTGCAGCGAAGACTCCCCCGGGGTGCCTGCCGCCATCTCTGGGTAGGTTATGGTACTGCATGCAGTCCCTGCTCCGCAGGCTTAACTGCACTGCTTTTGGCTCAGGGCCTGGGGGGCTGTTTGTCCATCAGCAACCGGACGGTAATCTCCACCTTCACAGCAACATCTTACACTTTTAGGAGACAAATGCATGAACAATCCCTGCTCCCAGCTCTGTCTCTCCCCTCCTAAGGTGCATTTCAGCACACCGCAGCGCCCACCCGGCCTCCCTCTTCCAGGGACTCTCCATTTATCTTTTACGCTCAGAATCTCCACCATTGCCAGGGATCACTATGGGGTGGGTGGGTGGGGGGTGGCCTTCCTACGCGAGCAAGGGAGAAGATCCAAACGGGATCCAGGGATCCCAAAATGGCTATGGGTGCACTTGAGCCCAACTACTTAGCCTCCGGCTGCAGCGAGCGGTTGCGGAGGTCCGGAGTAGGCGGGCGCTCGGGAGCCAAGCCGCCTGGGGTGGAGGGGACCGGGTCCCTTTGCCTGCCTAGCTCTTCCTGTCCCGGGAGCTGCCTCCCTGACCTTGACGGGGGCCGAGGCGAGGCGGGGGCGCGGCGCCCTGCGTGCTGCACCGGGGACAGTCCCGCAGGCAGGCCCGCCCCACACCTCCCGGCGCGTGCCCGCCCTCCCGCGCCGCCCGCCGGGTCTCCTCCCCTCACTGCAGCGCTCGCCGCGCTCGCGCTCGCCCATCGATCAGCCCCTCCCTCTGCCCGGGCGCAGACTGCTAAGCTCAGCAAGTCTTGCCGCAAAGGCACTTCGGAGCGCAGTTGGGCCCGGGGCGGAGCGGGGACTCCGCACCCGGGGGGACGAACGCCGCCGCTGGACGGTCGCCAGCGCCGCATCCCTGCAGCGGATCTCTGCCTCCCGTCGGGGACCGCGCATCTCTCCTGCCGCGTCGGGGTCGCCCTCGGGTGAGTCCCTAACCCCTCCGAAGTTTCTCCATCCCGGCTTCTGAGTCTAGGGGCGGAAGGCTTCTGGCTCCTGGGGGTGGGTGCGGTTGCGGAAGTTTGGGGCCAAGAGGACTGGGGGCCCGCACAGTCCTTTGCGGGAGTTTGCAGCGCCGCGGATTTGGGGGAGCCAGAGTCGGGAGCCAGGAGCGGGATCCTATGGGTTTGCGCGGGGAGCTGCAGGACGGAAGGGCCGAGCGTCCCTTGGGCCCGCCCGCTCTGCTGCCGGCGTTTTTTGTCCCTGAACGCCCCCACTTGCATCTTGCCCATCCCCCGCCTCTTTTGCCCCGGCCAAGCTACGGGGATCCGCGGCACCGCCGTCGTGGGAAGACAGGGGAAGGTCGCCCGTGCGAGGCTGGCGGGACCAGACTAGAATTCTGGAAGTGAGGGTCGAGGGAAGCAGTCTGGGACGCGACGGGTGTGTATGTGGGGGGGGGGCGTGAAGATGTCCCTTCAAATCTCATGACTCAGCAACACCTAGGACGGCTTGTCGCTGCTCCAGCTCTGGTCCACAGGGCCAAACAAACCCAATTCTCCTTTCTGGTCTCTTCCATTTGCGTTTCTTACTCGCCCCTCCATCCCTGTTGTAACTTAGAGGCCGCATCTTTTCCCCATGGCATCCCTTTAACCCTGGTGCGGTTTCTTCCTGTCTCCCCCATTCCACAGGTGCCCCTAGGGGCACGGGGTCTCCCCTTTGCACTCCTGGGGTGCTGGTGGAAGGCCACGGAAGCAACCAGAGCAAGGATGGAGGAGGCACTTGCCCAGCAGGACCACTGCAGTGTGGAGAGGGCAGAGGGAGGGGCAGGTGGAAATGGGGTGGATGCCGAGGATAAGAAATAAAAAACACCACCACCACCTTAGGTTTGCAGGGGACACCTGAATGAAGACTGAGGTCAGGCTCGGGCCTCCTCTGCTGTGGGAGGGAGGCAGCGTCTCGAATGTAATAGGTTGTCCTCAGTTCAATCTCTAGCTCATAGAAACCTGGGCATTTCATCACTCGGTACCCAGGAGGAGGGCCATAGGCCCTTAGTCCTTCCAGCTGCCTCCCATCCCCAGCTTACAACGGAGCCTGTGGGCTAATTCAAAAACGAAGAAATGAATGTGTCAGGCACCCCTCAAACAGAGCCAGAAGGGCAGGGCAGGTGTGATGCAATGGGGCGTGCCTTGCACACACTGCAAGCTCCAGCTTGTGTCAGGGCCCCAGAGGTGAGTCAGCGTCAGGGGGTCAGCACCAGGCACCCTGCGAACTTGGGGTGGGGGACGCTGGGCCTCAGTCATTCTTTTTGAGCACCTGGAGAATGGCCAGCGCCATTAGAACTGGGCTGTCCTCCCCCCTGCGGAGCCTTGCTCTGTTTCCTGTGACACATCCCTGGTCTCATTGCTAGGGCTTCCTTTGGATGGGGGCTGCTGCTTTAGGATCTCGTGGGCTTATCTTCACCCTTTACATTCTGCACCTGGCCTGTGGAGGCACAGGCGCCTAGGAACTGTGGAGGGAGGGGGACACGGGTGTCCAGTTACCCTCTGGTGGAGCAGGGACCAGTCCCCTACATGTGTGTCAGCTTTGCTCAGCACTCCACGAGCTTTCCCCAGACGGCTTGGGGCATGCAAACACAGGTCTTTCCCCCTTGGAACCTGGCATCCACACGAGAGTAAGGGCAGAGAAAGGCATTGGCATCTGTAGTTGCCACAGGAATCTATGACTGGCCTCACCTGTGAGCAGCATTGTCCTGGTCACGGAGCACCTTTGCAGACCTGGGGGGGGGGTCTTACTACACTGCAGCTGCAGCTCATTTTAGCTGTTGGACTTCATGCCCTTTCCACCTGCTGCAAGGCTGTTCCTAATACAGCAGAGATGGGGGCGGGGGGGGGGTGGTGGTGGCTGGAGAAGTCTCTTCCCTACTAGGCCACCCCAGTCGGCCTGGATCTGGGCACGTTTGACCTTGGGTGGCTGCTGCTCTATCTTTGCCCTAACCTGACAGAGCCCTTCCCTTTTCCTCTATGTTGAGCCTGTGTAGCCCTCTCAGTGCTAGAGGGGCAGCAGGCATACGGGGAGTCAATGAGGGGTGCCTGGGCCCGAGTTGAGAATACTGCTCCCTTTAGCTTTGGGATTTTCTAGGTAGACTTTTTCTGGTCTTAGACATGCTCTAGCTAAAGCTAAATTTGCTAGCTATCCTGTCCAGGGTGGAAGGGTACTGTTTAGGGACGGGAGGGACCAGCCAGAGTAAGCAACAGAGGGCTTGGCTACACCTGGTGGTTAGAGCAGGGAGTCCAATGCAGAGCAGTTGGAAAGCCAGGTGGACTTGGGTCCTAATCTCCAGAGCCAGTGATGGCTGGACTTGATGATCTGCTAGACTGTGTTAAGAAACACCTAGGATGTCAATGAGTACACCTTTGAGTGTTGTCTCTGAGAGCTATTCCCTAGATTAACTGAAGCGGGCAGACCTACCTTGGATATGAGGGATATGAGCGAGGGTCCTGGATGGAAGTAAAAGACCAATCAAACACCAACATCCCCCTGCTCTATGCTTCCTCATCTACCCGTGTCCTCATAGCTACAGCTACAAAGTTACTCCTGCCCCTATGCCTTCCTCATCCTGATTGACTATCGCTGAACCAAGAGTAACAAAGTAACTAACTAAACAACCAACTGACCGCAAAACAATAGCAACAACAAACCTTTTCCTTCTGTTAGTTACTTTGTCCAGGTATTTGGTTACAGCTAATACACTAATTGTGAAGGCTGTATTCATGTTTGAGAATATTTTATTAGCATGTATTTTATTAGCATGTACATCCTGGGTGCCATTGTTCTAGGCGCTGTGTATGGATGAGGCCATGAACTCGACAGACAATAGTCCTACCATTCCCGTGTTTGTTTGTTTGTTTGTTTTTGATTCAGGGTCCCATTTAGCTACAGATGGTCTTGGTCAATCCTGCTTTTTACTTTTGACCTTCTAAGTACCAGGGTTTCATACATGTGCTATAACACCTGGTTTATACAGTGTAGGATTGAATCCGGGCTTTTTACATGATAGCCAAACACTACCAACCGAGAGGGATCCTTAGCCCCAACCCCTGCTGTTCTGGATCTTGCATTCCAGTGGGCCTTAGCTACTTTGATTATCAGTTCCCACAACCCTTCAGTATCACCTATGGCTTTGTTGTTGCTGTTTGAGACAGGATTTTCCTATATAGGCCAGGCTGGACTAGAACTCACTATAGAGCTCAGGCTGGTCTCCAATTCTGGTGATCCTGTCTCTGCCTCCCCAGTGCTGGAATTATAGGTGTGTGCCGCCACTTGACTATTACTGTTTTGTTTGGTTTGGTTTGTTTGAGGCAGGGTTTCTCTGTAGCCCTGGCTGTCCTGGAACTTGCTCTATAGACCAGGCTGGCCCTTAACTTGCCAGCCTCTGCCTCTTGAGTGCTGGGATTAAAGGCTTACAGTACCACCACGGCCGGGCTAACTATTGCTTTTTTGACAGTCTGTTGTGTGCCATGCTAGGTGATAGGCATTGAGATGGAGATGAAACCTACCCTGGCTTCCATACCGGTGGTCACTGACTGCCAGACAGCTGAAGAAATAACTCTACAGAGAACTCAACACGCCTGTGACACGTGTTGTTTGTGGGACCCTGTGGATAGTGACTTGAGTAGGTCTGAAGTTTTTGTGCTTACACGGTATAATGGGTAAATGCTGTTAATATTGTCGCATAGTACTCCAAGCCTCCCTACCCTGATACAGTCTGACTTGCCCTGTTCGAGCATCCACACATACAGCTGGTTGGTGACTCACCATCTGCTCTGCCAGAAGCCAGGCCAGGAAATAGAGCTTTAGCCCTGGACTCTCTTGGTGTCCAGGAAGCCTGTGGTAAATGACATAGTTTAAGTGGAGAAATGTCACATAATACCATTTTCCCCCAAGAGGCAGTATAGTGACTATAGACAGCTTGCCTGGGTGCCACCTGGCTCTGCACATGCTCTGACTTCGGACAAGTTGTTACTCGGCCTTTTATCCTCTATCATCCCATGTGTAGAAGGGAGCTAAACTCTGTCCCCAACACAGGGTGTTTGCAGGGAGGGTCAAGTGAATAACAGCCCAGGGTGGGAGTGTGTGTGTGTGTGTGTGTGTGTGTGTGTGTGTGTGGTTTTTAACCCCATCAGTCCTGTCCTTGTCCTCAGACAGTGGCTGCTCATCCCAGGACCTCATCCCTCCAGCTTTAGGCAAGTGTGCATGATGCCCAATGAGCCATTTCCTGCCAGAGCTTAATTTCCAGGAAGGACCTGTCTCTGCCCTCCTTCATTTCCATCTCTGGGACAGGCAGGTTGAAGAGGTTACTGGGGTGATGGGTAGTGACTTTGGATCCCAGCCCTGAGGGACTGGAGCAGTCTCTGAATTTGGACTGTGAGGAGCCTTCAGCTGGGAGCCCCAAGAGTATACTGCAGTAAGGGCTCTCCAGATGCATGGAGAACAAGGGTGAGATCTGGTGTGGACCCCGCCTGCCCCCAGCTTGAGTCCTGGAGCATGGATGACCTTCCAGCCCTTGCCACTTAGAAAGCTGGGTGTGAATTGCAGTTCCATGGTGATGGTCACTGAACCTCCCAGCCTAGGCTTTCCAACTAGCCTCCAGATATTTCTTGGCCATTTTATCTGGTACCTCAAAATTGCAGCTGCAGAGATAGTAGTTATAAGAGAAGGCAGAGTCTGGATGGGTCATGGGTGGCAGCAGAACTCAGCCCTCCTGTCTCCTGCCCTCTCCGATGTAGTTCAGAAAGGGCTGGTGGAACTCCTGCATCTCCATCTTGGAGCAGCTGTCCTTGGCCATTTCACACTAAAGAAACAGGCCTCTTTCTCCTCTGTTTCCCCTTTGGAGGGACTAAGCTACTCTCTGAAAGACACAAGGTTGGAAAGATGCCAGAACACGTGGGGGGCCCATAGCACCCAAGAGGAGCATTCATGATAGCCA